AAACTGAAGTAATGGCGAAGAGCTGACTTCGATTGGACAAATCGTGACCAGAAATTACATTCTTACAGATATAAGATACATCCCGGCCTGAATAGAGGCATCAGTAGTGTGTGGGCACGACAGTAACAATTGGCCTTATATCAGCTATACAAGGACCCGAAACACCTTCAATGGGACACGGGTGGAGGTTTTCACGTAACACCAAAAACACGTGTGTTGCAGTTTCCTCCCCCTTGAAAACCTGTATGTACACATATTCTGCTCGAAGTTCCAGGGTCTCGTGATCGAGCCCCAAACTCACAAATGGTTAGAGAAGAAATAGCACAAGGGAGCCATCGAATTAAAAGAGAGCAGTAGAAAGGCCTTAAACCATTTCTCCGGGTGACACCAGAGTCCAAGGGATACCTGTACGGGATATATGTCGGCAAAAGCAAATAGAGATCATGACAAAGGATTTTTAAAATACTGATCACATTAGATTTAATCGTTTATTCACAAAGGAATCATTCAGGCAAGAGGTCAGAGGACGTATATTCCGGCGGGCACCGTATCACCGACAGAGTGGAAAGGCATGCAATATATTCTCTGTATCTTTTAAGCAGAAAGTCTGGGGGGGGGGGATCTCCATAGGTTCTTAGAATATATTATTATTATTTTTATTGTGTCTGTGGGCTTTCATATATGTTTATAAAATGTCTTTATTTATTGTCACGGGACAGAGAACAACCTACCCACGACAGTGCATTACCCCCAGGTCCGGAGGGTTGCACATTGGGGTGTATTTTATAAAATTATAATCTTCTAATATGATGTGATGCATTAGGACAGCGAGTTATCTTTTAAATTTGAAAAAAAAAAATGATTCTATAACTAAAGGTGAATTAATGCCAGTCGCATATTATATAAAATAAAGGAGGGATGAGTAAGTTGTATAGTCAGGGAGAATGTCGACATATAGCAGGCGAAAAGGAAACATATCAGAATGGACTTTAGGCGCATTTGTACAACGGCATAATGTCAGGTGCACACAGTTTTAAAGGCCGGCCCCTCCCCCAAAATTCGAGGTGTTGATTTAAAAGCCTAATGAAAGGGCTTCATTTGTACAGGTCTAAAAACATGTGCACATCTTAAACGGTGAAGGGCACTAGGGCGTGATTGGCTACAAGTTTCGATGTCCTACAGAAATCAGTTCGCAGGAAAATGTTGACTGTCCAACATTGGCACATCTAGAATGTTAAATTTACTCTCTGATTATGTTTCATTAAGGTAAAATTATAAACAACCGTATTATAATGCGCTTATAAACCAATTAAACTAAGTTATAACTAAGGCTAGTCCATAATTATAAAAAAAAAATCTTTGGAATATGGTAACAGGTAGTTTGACGACATTTTGGTAAGGCGATAAAGGTTACTAGCTAGGACTTTAGCAGTGTACATGGATAAAGTCAAGAGTGTGCGCAATGCCATTTTTGTGCAATTCTGAGATGTTTTTTTAAGTGAAAATAGGTCGACGCGTACATGGATGATACCGTGTATGTGCAATTCTTAAAAACGCAACCGGCAGTGGGCGATTCTGCACTTTCTCCCAATTTCGCACCTAATCTTCGTCATGATTAAGCACTTTTGTTCCATAAAAGTTCTAGCATAAGTGTAATTCGGCTAGCAGATTGTTGGAAAAAAAGGTTGATTAAAAAAAAAAAAAAAAAAAAAAAAACTAGCAGGTTGCTGTAGCAGGGTTGGTTGCCAAATTTTCGCCAAAAAATCTCCAAGTTACCATACTCCAAAGATTAGTGAAAATAAACATTGAAATTATTCATTTTGTTGGTAATTAAATCGCAATGCAATCATTAATCCTATTTCCTTAGTATAAATTACTAAGGGAAAAAATTACTAATTTACTGATATATAAAAAGAAATATTTGACAGTCCTTCCTTCAATTTTTACTTTCAGGTTTTGCTAAAAAAAAAATAACTTAAATAAAATAACTTTTAAAATTAAAATTACTTAAATTAAATAACTTAAAGAATATTCATTTTCCAGCATAATTATTCTCCAAAGTTTAGGTACAGTTTGGTAAAATGTAATTGCAATTATAATTAAAACTACAAGCAAAAGTAATTGTAACTGGAATAATATTTTGAAATAGTATGTGATTTCAATTATACTGCAATTGTAATTAGATTATGGAATTACTTTGCAATTACAATTAGAACTTTTTTTAGTACTTTTTTTAACTGCATCAATAATGTATGTAATTGCATTTTAATTCTTAAGTCTAGCTGCAATTACAGTACAGTGGTAATCGCAGGCATTATAAGTCTATAATCTAATTACAATTACAATTTTATTGCATCTAATCACAACTACAATAAAACTGTAATTGCAAATACATTATTATTATATTCTCTAATTACAACCTCATTTTAGTTGCAATTACAGTGCGTAATTATACCTACTTAATTAGAAAAGTAATTATGCCTGATAATTCTATTTTTTAGTGTGCAACTGAAATTGCATTGTAATTGTAATAAAATTATGCAATTACTGAGTAGTTATAGTTAAGAAGTAGCTGTTTTTTTAATTACAATTTGCATAATTTCATTTTAATTAAAATTACACTGCACTTGTAGCTCCAGTAAGTAATTATAATTATGCAATTAGGATAGCAGTTGTTTCTGATAAAAGCAGTTACGTAGCCCAGGAAAATCATAGTCTTAAATAGCATATGCAGTTGTGGAATGCAATTGAAAACACATAATAATTGTAATAATATTATGCAATTATTTTACAATTACAATGTAACAATTTTTAATTACATATACAATTTACGCAAATGCATTTCAATTAGAATTAGATTTTAATTATGATACCTAATTGGATATACAGTATAACTGTAATTATATAATCTAATAAAAATTACCATGCAATTGTAATTACCTCTTAATTAAAATTACACAGAAAATGATTGTAATTATTTAATCGAAAAAGCTATGCCTCTTATAATTTCAATGACATAGGCTAAGGAAATCGTGATAATATTTGAAATTTACAGTAAATCATAGTATACCTGAAATGCTTTCTCATTTTGGATGATAAATTGTTAAATAATACAACGGGATAATCACCTAGAAGGAAAATATTAATACTTTCTGTCATGTCTTCTGAAGCATCTTACATGCATTGTAGTTTGTGATACTGGCATAAATTGGAGTTTATTTAAAGGAAGTAATATCGGCTATTTTATAGAGACCCCTAAATGCACATAACGTTAGAAGCAAATACGTATGTTTATGATCTTCTTCGACATACTACATGTGAATTTAAATTAGATTAAGGAAAAGCAAGCAAAGAGTGTATGCCCGTGCCAAAGGATATTTTCGAGAAGGATTTCTTATGGAAAGCTGATCTTGTTTCACATTACACAAGAAATAAATCATAAAAATTTCATTTATCCTTTCCTTTTCAGAAAGGGGATCATCAAGGACTAAACTACGTCTTATAATTGTATCCAATCGATTGCTTTAGCTGGTAGAAAAATGACTCTGACCTACAATAAGTCTACTTAATTGCTGTGTATAGTAAGCATTTTACTAATTCTACTTTTATTACGAATTGCCGCCCAGACGGAAAAGTGGTTCGTGAACCTGACTGCCATACCGAAAGATCCGGATTTGAATCCCCTTAAGACATGGATGTAAATTGGCCGTCCCTTTATAGGACGCAACGGTGAACCGCTTATCAGGTGCCTCCATAATAACGTGACCACCGCTTCGGTTCAGGCGCGATGCCGACGCTCTCTTGGGTACCCGCGATGCTTTCGCTATCCCAGTATAACATAACATTTAAAGATTTTCGAACACATGTGAGTTCATAATTCTCTTGCGGTTCGAAGAAGTCCATAGAAAATATGGAGGAAAGGAATAAAATCATGTCGAGTAAAATAAAAGAGTCCAATGTCATAGTCCATCAAGCGATGTTTGTGAACACGAAAAAATGCTCAGCTCAGGTCATCAATTGCTGCAGGAAGTCCAAATTAGGCAGAAGATTCTGTGAGGCGTTTAATAATGTGCGAATCAACAGATAACCAGGTTTACAAAGGTATGCCATTATAGTCTGTCGTTATAATAGCAGTAAAGAAGAGAAAGCGTATATGGAAAGGAGCATGAGAGTTAAAACAAGGTAAGAATGGAGCTAATTAATAGGAACATAGATTAACTGAATATACAGTACAAAAATTATACAATACAAAAAATATACAATGCAAAAAATGAAGTGATGTGTCTTAACACAGCCATTGGCCTTTTTCTATTTACATTTGCTGAAACATCATAGTTGAGAACACGAATAACACTGTTGTTGACATCCGGGATTTTTCGGAAGAATTTTTTTGCCAGTTTGGCAATATATACATGAATTTCTGGAATGTTTAACTCGCAATGGATCACCGTGTTTCTTTTTAACCATCGGCAGTTCACCATTTCTCTCAAAATGACATTCTGTACGGTTTGCAGTTTCTGCATGGTGTTATTACAAACATAGCACCATACGGGGCACACGTAGGTGAGGATTGGTCGCATCATGGTTTGGTAAATGAGTAACTTGTCAGTCGAAAGAACGCTGTTCCGAGCAATTAAGGGGTCGAGTGTAAGTTTACGTCCTCGGAACTTGGTTATAATATTTGTAACGTGTGGGACCCTGTGAGCAAATAATGAAGTGTAACACCTAGGTAGCGGACTTGCTTTACCCAGGGATTGGGGTGCCATACATTAAAACATACAGGTTCGGATCAAGTTTCCTCTTTTAATCAAGTTTCCTCTCTTGTGAATAATATGGCATCAGATTTGGAAACATTAATTTGAATCTTCCAGAAGTTTAGCCAGCACTCCAGTGCATGGATGTGATTTTGTAATGCCTCTATAACTGGACCTTGAGATGCACTTTGTGTAAGAATTGAAGTATCGTCTGCGTACATTGCCGAGGTGGTGTCTTTGGGATACCTTTGCATATTCCAGCACTTTTTGAAGGATGACAGATTCTGCTATCTTGCTCAGAGCTGACAATAGGCTCACTGGCCTATACAAGATTGGGTCTGTAGCAGGTTTGCCTGGCTTTAGAATTGGTGCAATAATTGCAGTTTTCCAGCTTGCTGGGAAATATCCAAGGCGAAGCATAAAGTTGATGATCTGGTTGAATTTGAGAAGCATGGGCATTCCCATGTGCTTTATCATCTTGTTTCAGATGCGGTCAATGCCTGGACTTTTGTTGATTTTCAGCTTGGAGATATAATTAAAGACCTCCTATGGGATGACAGGAGGAATGTTGTCTATGTGTGGCTGTGAGGTATAGTTTGTAAGTGTCTGTGCAACAATCCTTTCTGTAGGAGGGTGTGGCATGTTGTTTGTGCAAAACTGAGAAGCATGGTGATCAGCTAGCGACTCAGCTTTCTCAGCCTCAGTGTAAGCAATTCTGTTCTGGCCTTTAAGGGGCGGTGTCATGTTCTTCTTCTTGGGCGGGTTTTGGATATAGGTTTCCTTATTGTGCATTAAATGTGGGCACTGCATAAACCAGGCATTATAACGGCACAAAAACTTTATTAAAAATAAGACCAAACGATTAACTCATAAATATAAATACGTTTTTTTTCATTCATTCACGCTGGCATACAGCGTGTTACCTTCGTTACTTCGCTACTCTTCTCTAGTAAGTCATATGAGAAAGAGAGTCGCTGCAGGCCGTTGGGCTAAAAATGCGCCTGCGTAGTCATCACGTCATGACAGGCGGAATGTTGGTGTGGCATCTCTGCAATTTGGAGGTTACCCTCCAGACTGAGTTATCTTCCCCCGACAAGGAGGATAGATAAGTGGCCCAGTTAGAGTCAGTGTGTATACGTGTCAGGAGTCTGACTTGCTGGTTGAGAAGAGTTTGGATCTTTACCATTGCTTTCACATTGCATTTCTCCTTCTAATAAGGTCTCTTAGCTGTTTGTTGCAGGGCTTTCTCCTGCTAGTGACATCCTTACTGTTGCTCCTCAGAGCTTCCTGCATTTCTGCAGTGAAATCCTTCCCCAAGGCATCTAGCTCATCACCCGTGTGTGGTGTTGGAAGGAGCAGTGGCGTCTGACGACAGCTCCGAGAGACCTTTCAGCATGATTCAGAGCACAGCCCCGAATCATGGAAAAGTCCAGGACTGCCGCAGACGCACTGGTATAGCGTGTTGGGTCTCGTGGAGCTGCAATTGTAATTCCGGCCTTTTTGGCAAAACGATGAATTACTGTGTCTAGGTAGGTGTTAGAGTTGCAGTTCCACTCGCAGTGTTGTGCATTAAAATCTCCGCCTAATACTATGTTATGTTTGAGGTTTGCCAGAGCCTGGAAATCTCTCAAAGAATAGGCCTGTGATCTGCTGGATGGTGGTACGTAGACGGAGATAATTGTGAGTGGTCGACAGGTGAGTGGTGTGATCGTGATAGCTAAGGCTTCTAGCCCTATAAGCTGTGGATTTGGAGTGTGGTGGTGGGTGATGGAGCGTTTAATCAGGAGAAGTAAGCCTTTCCCCGGACTATGACTTGTTCTGGGTCTGTCCAGCCTGTAAACAAAGTAGTTGTTGATAATAACAGTGGCCCCTGGGCGCAGCTTGTGTCCTTGGAGGAGGATGACATCGGGGTTGTACTCATTTACAAACTCATGAAGTTCATTAATTTTGTGATACAAACCATTTGCGTTCCAAGTTACAACTATGAGCTCTCTGTCCATAATTAGTTTTGGTTTGATAGCCCGTGTATTTCATCAAGTATTTGATACAAAACATACATTTTGTCTAACATATCAGTGCACTCTTTGAGAGCATTCATTTTACTTTTAAAGGCTTTAATCAAGATCTGGATGAAAGATCCGGATTTGAATCCCGGATAAGACATGGATGTTAATTGGCCTTCCCTTTATAAGACGCAACGGTTACCCGCTTATCAGGTGCCTCCATAATAACGTGACCACCGCTTCTGGCTTTAGTAATGGCCATTGTCTAAAATGTCATTGTACTCGTCATTAAAAATTATATTATTGAGAATTAGTCTTTTATTAAACATAACAAATACTTCCAAAAAATAGTTAAAATGCATTCTTTACTTAAAAGTTAAAATACTTGCACGAAGTATTTTCCGCAGTTTAAGGTAAAAACAAATAAAAGTATAATTTTCATTTTCGCCTGTAAATGTTATATTACTTGGATTATAGTAAAGCGCCCCTTCCCAGATGCTTCTGTGGATGACTTTCTAAAGGAAACTGTCTTATATTCACATCGCCCGTGAGGGAAAGGTCGTTATTTAATTGAATGAGACGAAGCATTTAAGAAAAATGATGTATTCGTGGGGAATTTTCTAAAGGATACTGGTTTGTATTCAGGTTATACAGGAAATCCCTGGAAATATCCAAACATTTAGAATGTCTGCCTGAATTCGAATCCGATTTAAACTGGCACTATTTAAACGCCGTCTCATTTACTCGATTACTGCTGAGAGAAAAATCTAATTGTTTTTGCAGTAATATAGTAATTCGAAAAGTCATTGCATTAGAATTGCAGTTAAAGCTGCGTTAGTTGTAGTTTTACCGATAATCTGCTGGATTAATTAATTAATCCAGCAGATTGCCTTAGAAAAATTAAGTGAATTTTTCTAAGGCAATAGCAGATAGATTAAATTTTAAAGAAAAATGAAAGATCTTATAATTTATCGAATGACAATATAAAAAAGTATATTCGCCAGGAATGTCCGAAGTTTAATTAAGATCTTATTTTTCGTCCACTGGCAATACTTGCCAAATGCTAATCAAAGGTTTTTTTTTTTTTTTTTTCTAGACAATTTTTGTTTTCCAAGGAAAGTATTTTATATCATAGATAAAAATAATTCGTCTCTCTCAAGGTGCAGCATACAACAAATACTGATAAATTTAATTGGAATTACATTATAATTCTAGTTAATACGGATACAATGTTTTTTTAACGGTTGTAATTATATCATAGTTGTAATTGCAAACGTCAAATGAGTTCTATAGATTAGCATATTTGTATTTATTGAAAGCACTAATACTGAACATTTTAATATCTTCGGTACTGAAAAGATGTTTCACTACTCTCTTGAAATGTATATTCGATAACATATTCTTGTTGCTGTACTTCTTATTATATATTTTCCTACACAATTCATAAAGATTTGCAGTGGGAATACATTATATAGAGGCAAACTATATGCATTATACTATTATTATTATTATTTATTTATTACGCCCTAAGCCACTACATGGAAGGCATGGATGCCTTCGTGGAGACTTTCTTAGGGAAACTAAGGGCTCGTATTATTTCTAAGGGCTCGTATTAACACTATACGCATGGGGAAAACAACGAAAACGCCCATGCAGCCAGCCCATTCGCGCAATTCGCACCTCAGACCGAACTACCCGCGTTCAGGGACTTTACCGCTGGTTGGCCATGCATTATACTGATGCTATATTTTATACTTTTTAAATTTTTGTGAACTAAGTTCCATTAAGGTTTACTTGAAGGAAACTCTCAGCGCAAACACTCAAAAGGAAGTTATGCTATATTTACACATTTTGAAATAATTGAATGTAAGTACTTTCCTGTAGTGATAGTGCTCAATATATCGCGTTTTCTGATACAATGCATATGTTGCCTAAAATCGAATGTAAGTGACCAGTTTCAGAATATTTGCCTGAAACAATAAACTGTAATTTTAAAGTATCAATCGAAATAATGGATTATTCAAAATAAAATTTGTTGATATTGAAAATTTATATTGCGTTTTGAATTATAATGTATGCTGCGAGGCTTCAGCAGACCTAACAGCTCCAGTAAACATCATGGTTTGGTAATTAAAAAAAAAAAAAAAAAAAAAAAAAAGGGGGGCAGGGGAAAAGAAGCGAAAAAAGAATAGGCTTGCCATGGTGAAACATTGGAAACGAGTAAACAAAATGTTAATACTATATATGGGTTATAACACGGGCCTTTTCAATATTTCGCAAGATTTTTCAAAAATTATTGTTCTTATTTTTAATTGTAAAAGAAATAGTTTAAATGGAAATGCTCAGCTTGGTTTTATTTACTTAAATTATAATATTTGATAATGTGAATTGAGATATCCAAATCATTTGCGTATAAGAACCCTCAAAAATGTGAAACAACACTTTGAAAGATTTTGTTTTGGTTTGGTTTATTTGATTTTTCCAAAGCACGTGAGGGCTATCTGTCTAAAGGGAGGACTTTCTAAGGAAAACTTGCTGGCATCCATATTGCATAGGGACGGGGAAAATCACAAAAAGTGCACTTTGAAAGGTAAAAATATTTAACATTCTACATCTATATTTTATTCAAAATTTTCCTTAGAAGGAATTTTAGCAACTTAATACAAGTGCTGCATTTAAGTCAAGAATTAAAATAACGTCCTTTTATGATTTACATAATACAACTTTTCCTGTCAAAAATAACCACATGAAAATGCATCAAATTTCACAACCATGCCATTTATTTCAGAAGCTGAGATGTATCTCTGACATTATCTTGTCTGTATGCAGATAACTTTTTAACAAGGTTGTCGCATAAGATTATGACTGAAATTTCTTTCAAAATATTCACAATGTTATTACTTCTGTTAACCAATAAATGAGATAAAGGCAAAATTTCGTTTTATGAATATGAAAAAAGATGAGTGAAATAGATTTATAATAAAATGAAGTACAAAAAAATCTGCCGAAATGACTGACACTAAGCATGTGTTCGCTATTTAAATAATGTATTAATTATCCCTTACATGTAACCTTTCAATAGGAATCGAATATTTTAAACCTCTTACAAATTTTAACTCAGCGCAAAAACTTAATTGCTTGAATTCAAGGCAGATAATTAGCTTAAACTAAGGCTATTTAAGATGTTATCACATTTTCTTGTTTTAACGAAAACGTTACTTTTGTCATGGCTCGTACTAAGCAGACTCTTTTAAGCGATGCTGTTCCACCTGATACGGATACGTTCCGGATTCAATCTCGGACAACTCGAATACGCTGGCTACGGATATGGATCAGGATCAACCTGCACTTACGGATGCAGAAATAACTACTCTTAGACAGGAAATTCTGACGTTGGAAACTTCTTGTACTTGTATTTTCTTTTCTGATTCTGGTATCTACTTCACAGAGTATAAACCAGTCATTTATAAGCCC